TTCTGAAATAAATAACCCTGCAGCATCCCTATGTGAACATGAAACCATAGAGCTAAACTTCAGCACAGCAGCACTTCTTCCTGTGTTTTTAACCACCTGTCTGCTGTCCTGCAGGGGGCGGTGTCGAGCTCCCTCACCTGCCTGCAGCTGCATAAGAGGGCCGAGCGAGTGGCGGCGCTGCTGATGGAGAGGGGAGGCCTGCAGGAGGGAGACCACGTCGCTCTGGTTTACCCACCAGGTCGGACAGGACGCACTCAAACAGCAGCATGTAGGCATTTGTGGAGGTGAGGCTCATTCACACCTGTGTTGTTCCCGCAGGTATTGACCTGATCGCGGCCTTCTACGGCTGCCTGTACGCCGGCTGCGTTCCCATCACGGTGCGGCCGCCTCACCCTCAGAACATCTCCACCACGCTGCCCACCGTCAAGATGATCGTGGAGGTCAGGCCCTTATTTGATTCAAGGCTCCTTCCTCCTCTAGTTACAGCTGCAGTATTTAATTTCATCTTCTGATCTTCAGGTGAGCCACTCGGCCTGCGTGATGACCACGGCGGTCATCTGTAAGCTGCTGCGCTCCAAAGAGGCCATGGCCACTGTGGACATCAGGAACTGGCCTCCCGTCCTGGACACCGGTACAGAGAGCATTCATTCAGTCTCATTCTTTACTATCACAGCTGCTTGGCTTCAACTTAACCTCAGAGTGAACGGTCCTTCATGGTCAGAAGTAGTGAGAGATGCTACACAAGGTTTAAATGTGCAAATCAGGAATCCCTAATAAATAAATATACCAGAATTAGCTTCACTTTCCACAACAGCAATCTGAACTTTTCATAAAACCAGCTTCAAAAGACATTTTAGAGTCAAAGGTTTAAACATTCATGAACATTTTGGAAATCGCTCTTCATCCCTCCGTTAATCAGAAAAGTTCTATGAGTCATGTTGTGAATGAGTCATAAATAAACCCTTCTGTGACTATAGACGGGCATAAAACTGGGAAGTTTGGTGTCTGTAAGTGATGCTGAAGGGAAGATTTGTGGCTCCGAGTTGTTTTTAGATGCCTTTAAAAAGACATTTTTATTGGAAACCACAATTCATGGGCAAACATTTTAAACAGACGTCACCATAAAGCTCATTACTTACAGTGGGTCAACTGGCTGTTGTAATGCAAGTTTTCTGAAATACTACATTTTGATATGCAAATTAGATACTGTCTCGTTAAATGAGGGCTAATTTTGCATTAATCTCCTGAACAGAAATCAACATTTTTGATCAAACCAGCTGCAAAGTTTTCTTTTTGTTTACATGTTAAAGTTAAATGATTTTACACTTTAATTATCGATTTTTATTCTACACAGCCATAAAACATGGATTTCTCCTTGTTTTGAGGGATAAAAAGTTCTATAAATGAGGCTGTGAATGATGTCAGAGTATCGACAGAGTCACAGTTTCCAGCTAATGTCGCTCCTAACGTGCATTTAATTTCAGTTTTTTCAGTATTTTTGTGTTTACCAGCTGCTCACCTCTTATCCCAGAATGACTTTAAATCAACCTGCTGGGTGTAAATTAATCATTATCTTAGTTTTATTATTACCTCGGCCTGGTTTTCATTACAACCTGCATTCCTCTGCTGAGAAGGATTTATGAAACACATAAAACCGATAAAGGCTGTTATCTCCATGAGAGGCCGTAACGTTTAAAGGACGTGAACCTTCCTGATCGAGCTGCTGACAAACTGAAACGACGACTAACCTGCATGAGAGCAGGGTTCACGCTGCATTTATTCACTTTAATAAAGAACACAAATGATGCTCATGCAGAAGAACACATCCAGCGCTGGTTCTGTTGACAGTCAGAAAAACATCGAATGTCATCAGCTTTGTGCTTTGAAGCAGCTTCTTTCCGTCAGACGGTGAATCCTCCGTCAGAGCAGCGTTTGAAGCTGCTGGATTCGCTCTGCGGGTTCAGCTTCGGGTCAGAGTTTGTGAGAGGAGCCGAGGCGAGCCGACCGTCCTCTGGAGTCGAATGAAATAAATATGTGTCTGTGCTGCAGATGACCTGCCAAAGAAGAAGCCTCCGGCCCTCTATAAGCCCACCAACCCCGACGGTCTGGCCTATCTGGACTTCAGCGTGTCCACGACCGGGATGCTGGCCGGAGTTCAGGTCAGCTCAGCTTTAATCCTCCAAACTGAACCGTTTCCCTCCTCAAATGGCACAAACCTTTATAACTTTACAGCTTTTATTTTATGCCTCTAAGTTTGAAACAACCAGAAAACACAGTAAAATAGATTTTTCACCATATTGAGCCTTTATTTGAATAAAAAAACACTAAAGATGAATTTATTATAATGAGTCTAATAAGTTGCTGTGTTGGCTCAAAGATACGTCTGGTTTTATTTGTTTTATGTTGAAATACGCTGAGTGACCTTTAATGTGGGTTAATTTGCACTCATTTTAAATAACAGAAAGCTGAATTTTTTTATGTCGATGTTGTGTTTTTGCGTTCCATAAATCAGAAAATACTGAACACAGCAAGGAAAAAATGGATTTTCACCATGTTTTAGGGAATAAAAAATTCTATAAATGAGGCTAGGATTGATTTAAGAGCAAACCCTTCTGAATAAACCTTCAGATTATCGATGGGAGTAAAACGTTTGTTGTCTGAAGTGGAGATTTGTGGCTCCGACTTGGAGAAAAGCCTCATTTTGACCGATGTTTTGTACAATTACGATTAGAAACCACGATTTAGAGGTAAAAAATGAACTCACTGTGAAACTACCCAGTTAGACACAATTAGTTTTTGCTGTTGTTTACATGCAAATGAGGTATTATCTTATTAAATGTGGCCTAATTTGCATCAATCTCCAGAACGAAAATCAGATTATTTTTATAAAACCACACTTATTAAAGTCAAACATATCAAAGTCGGAGGATTTCACATTTTAAATATTTTTTTATCCCTCCTAAAATCAGAAAATACTGTTGACAGTCATGTTTTTAGGAATTAAATCAAGCTGTGAATGTTTTGTAAATATGCACAAATGCATTAATGTCCACCAGATGATGTTCATTAAAATAAATCATACATTTTAGTCTGAAAGAGGAAAAATGATGGAAGCAAAAACAAAAAAGCCCAAAATCTAATTGCCAGCAGCAGAATTAAACCCTGATTTATATATTTTATTTACTTAGAATAACATTTGAAAAGTCAGCCACAAATTTGATGCAAGTGATAATAATACATTTTTAAAATAATCTTTATTTATAAGTCTGTATAACTGGGATGTTAACATTATTGTTGGTACGTTAATGTTCATCAAATTTACCAAAAGCTGCAGAAAATAGACAAATAAAACAAAGCAAAAATGACTAGAGTTTGGCTTTTTAGATTTAATTTGAGACATTTTATTTTGAAGTTTCACCAGGACAGTGGAGGTGAACGGAGTTTAGTTTGTGCTGCAAGATCAAGATCTAAAAGGTAGACATTTCAGCTGCTCTATGTGTTTCCACATTTACTTCTAACACTGCAGGAGTTGTACCTGTTTGGTCTTCAGGCTCCTTATTCTCTACAAATCCATAGAAAGTGCATGTTCCCTCCTTTGTTCACTGCTTTTACCTCCTAGAGTGAAATTCAGCTGCAGCGTAACGAGAACAATGTGAAAATAAAAAAAGGCTGAATTAAAGCACATTTTGCAGCAGCTTCTCTGTGTGAGTGTCAAAGTTAACTGCCAGTGTTTCCGTCTCGTTCCCGTTCGTCTCTTTGCGTGTTGTCGTGTCTCTCCCTGTCCCCCTCGTCCCTCCAGATGTCCCACAATGCAGTGGGGGCCTTCTGCCGGTCGGTGAAGCTGCAGTGTGAGCTCTACCCGTCCAGAGAGGTGGCCATCTGCCTGGATCCCTACTGCGGCCTGGGCTTCGTCCTCTGGTGTCTGTGCAGGTCGGTGCTGCTCAGAAAAACCCGTTTTAACGCTGCGCTTCGTCCTAGTTGTTAAGACTTGACAGGCAGACGTGAGAGGAAATGGTCCAAATCGAAGCATCAGGTGTCGAGGCGTAAAGTTTTACTGCAAATAAACTTTACATCCATCCTGGAGGAAACTGAACTCTTTGGTGTTTCCTGGATCTGAGTTCTGCTCTACGAGGCCACACATCCAGACCTTCTATGTGTAAAATAAAACTAAAACCGCCATCAAAGTTAGCAGGTATCATGTAGGTGGTTATCAGCTTCCTTTAACTCAGACTTTCTGCTTCAGACTCTGTGTTCGTTCACATAAAAGAAGGAGTTTAACGTGAATCAGTCAACACGTTGTTTTAATGGCGAATAATGAGCAATACAAAACTGTACGACGTTACAAAGTGCTGCTACTGCAAACGATGCAGGACAGGAACGCTGCTGGAAAACTGAGTTCATGTATTTATTTTGCTGATCGATGCAGCTGCACGTTAAAGCTGTTAAACATCATTTATTTAAACCTGATCTTGTATTAAAGTGTGTTTAGGTCTGACACTGTCCCATAATGCAGGAAATTAATTACATTTTTGGTTAAATCAAAGCAAAATAAATGTTACTGACTGAATATTTTCTGTAATAAGTACCAGTAGAATGATACTTTTTTTTCCAGCAGTGAAAACAGATCAAACATAAAAACACAAATATGTGATTTCTGCATCGCCAGCTGAATACATGTAGGTTTCCATGGCAACATGATGCATCCAGTGCGTGATGCTGTAACTATGCAGCGTCTTTTGGTGGTTTTAGCAACGTACAACTCAACAGGTTTGCAGATGAAACACATTCCCTCCTTCCAGATGATTTAAATCTCCACAACATCAGTTACCATGGAGACCTAGCTCCACAACATCAGTTACCATGGAGATCCAGCAGGTTAAAACAAACCTTCACTGAAAACTCTGACTTCAGGCTCAACATATCTCTCTAACGCACTAATCTCGCTCCATAGTTCAGCCCTCTGGTCTGAAGTCTCCTCCAGGTTGGGAAAAACCCAAAATGTGCAGGAAGTAACGGACAGATTCTGAAACCAAGTCTGTTTGCTCAGTTCAGTGCAGAGAAGCATCTCGACTGCTTTTATTGTTCTTTCAGTCGAAAGCTGAAGCCATCAATGAGCAGAGGAACGACGAGTAAATCACCTTCAGCTGACTTTTTTTGATGATTAAAAGTCTAAATTCTATGATTCCAGTCTTCTAAAATGGATGTTTTTTGGTTTCTTTCCCGTAGACTAAAGCTCCAACAATTAATTGATTATTTCTCAACAATTAATCACCAACTGCTTTGATAACAAAGTAATCAATATTTTGCAGAGAAAAAAAAAATTCTCTGTTTGCAGCTTCTTAAATGTGAATATTTTGTGCACTTTGTGTTGCATTTTTATGAAGTGTTGTACAAATAAACTCTGATTGATTGATTGATTGATTAATCCTAAATAAACCCCTTCTAACTCAGATTTCTGCATTTAACTGTAATATAAAGTGTATTTTTCTCCATTTTTGTGTGTTTCTTGACTCACTAACTTACCTGCGTTACCACTACCCCTCGTTAATGAGGCGTTTTTCCGTGTCGTCCTTCAGCGTCTACTCGGGCCACCAGTCCATCCTGATCCCTCCGGTGGAGCTGGAGTCCAACCCGGCGCTGTGGCTGCTGGCCGTCAGCCAGCTGAGGGTGCGCGACACCTTCTGCTCCTACAGCGTCATGGAGCTCTGCACCAAAGGACTCGGCCTGCAGACCGAAGCGCTCAAGGTCAGAACCCCGACGACGCCACCAAACACGTAGAGGGCATCATAACAACAGGAAGTAGACTGAATGATGACGGGAAGCATTGTTTTCTGTTAGGAGACGGCAGGAAAAGCACCAAACTAGCAGCTCAGTTCTGTCTTTAATATATTAAATGAATCAGCATGTTCTCATCTGATGGTACAAACAAACTAGAACCATGTGTCATGAACACAGGACATGTTAAAGGTAGTA